TATTAAATAACTTAGATTTCTCATTTCTTAAATTTTTAAATAGTTCCTAATTCCCAAAGTTCATAGGAAAGTTAAATATTTTAGTTTTACAATTTTACTTAGAAAAGAAATCAAAAATTTCAAAAAAAAAATAGTGCAGCCCGGTTCGGCCCAGGCCCAAGGCCTGCCCTGTGGCCCAGCCTGGCACGGCCCAAGCCCACGGCACAGCCTACAGCCTAGCCCTGCCCAGGTCCATGTGCTGGCATGGCACGGCACAGGCCCACTGGGTCGTGGGCCATGCCAGATCGACCCCCAAAATTTCCACCGGGGAGGACGACACGGCAAGGCGGGCTGCCCACAGATCATGCCATGCCGGCCAAACACGACCCACTTTACACCTCTTAGCTAAAAATTTGTTTGGTAAGAAGGTAAATTTGTGAGTACAAAACTAATCCAATTTTACAATTTATATGAACTGTTTTATACTCTACATATTTGCATTCACACTTATTTGCATCGTTTCCAAACACAGCCTTAATAACTTGATCATTTCAAAGGCATTCGTTTCCACTTCACACATGGGGATGCACGTCTCATTCATGCGGGCTAGAGCAAAAGATACTAATTTTGCATCTAGGGGACTCAAACAAACAGCCTTAACTGCCTCCACAGCTACCACCCTCCCAAAGTGATCTCCAACCACACAAAGTTATATTGCTGATTTAGAGCCTGTTTCGGAAGTCTTTTGCCATGATTGAACTCCTTTCAAGAAGCTACCTATCTAGCTTCACCCAAAGTCTATTTTTACAGTTCTTGCAAGCCTTTTATTTTTTTACTTTCTGGATTTTCACCGAATGGTTTTCCGTTTCTTGGCTCATGCAATGCCAAAAACCACTACATAAAATTCCTCCCAAACGGGCCCTTAAACTTGTATCCACCTAGTTTGAGCTTTCATGATTGAAGTTTCTTCTTTCCAAAAAACTGTAGTTTAATTAGACTTTAGAAAACACGCCTTTATGGAGAAGGGCAAATTTGTTTAAGGCTTACTTATTCGGGTAAGTGCATTTATCAATATTTTTTATTTCCCAGGTAAATAAAATAATGATCATTTTAACTATAAAAAATTCATTATCAAAAAGAATATTTGTATCTCATCCAAGTGTTGACAATTTTCCCTAATCAATCCCAGTATAAATCTAAAAAAAGAACATGGATTTCTTGTCCATTAACCAATTTTCCCCCCTCTCAAAATCTCAAAAAAAAAAACGAATTTGAAAAAATTTAATAGGTCACATAATTGGCACATGACCATTTCCATCCAATTTGATAAAGAAAGACTAATGGAGTGGCTATTCCATTCACCCGTAAAATTTTGGGGGCATCTGCAACTTTAAGTTTGATAGTTTAGGTAGTAAAATGACACTCTCCCTGTAGTGCAGGGATTTGTTTTTTTTTTTAGATTATTCAAAATCATATCATCAGTTAATCACTCCATGACATGCAATCCCTTCAGGTGGTTCTCCTGGGTAGTCTCACGTGAAAGGTGAAACCCAAAGGATGAGAAAAAAAAATCAGAAAACCGAACCGATTAAAATTGAATCGAAAAATTGGTTAATCGAATTGGTCAGTTCGGTTTTGGTTTGATATTCTTAAAAAACCAAAAATTTTGGTTCGGCTTTGATTAATCTTATACAAAAACCGATGGTTAATGGGACTGGCCAGTGTATATATACAATAATATATTGTATAATATATGTATATATTATATTATATATTATATTTTTTATTTTTTTTTTAAATCAAATAACCTTATCTATGCGCGTCTACCACTCTGAAAAGGCGTTTGTCACTCTGTCCGCCTAGCTCCTGGTGCGCACCAACCATCAAGACGTCGGTCGCTGCCTCAACTTAGGTTTTTTTTTGCTCACCCCTACAACTCTGCCAAGACCACCACCTCCCAGGCTCTATCGCTGTCTCTCTCATTTCTTATCTCCGCGGCTCCGCCACCTCTCAGGCTTTTACTTCAGGCAATAACAACCACCAACTAGTCTGGCGCCGGTAAATCATTGGCCACCACTTCGCCATCACCAGTTCATCCCTCTGCCATGTTTTTTAGGTAAAATTTCCCTTTTTTCTTAATTTTGAGTGAAAAAAAAAAACAAAAAACTGAACCATGATTAATCGATTATATCGGTTCAATTTCGATTTAGATTTTTAAAAAACCAATCAAATCGGTTCGGTTCAAAAAAACCCAACCGAACCGTGAGCACCCCTAGATGAGATGATGATGACTCTAATAAGTAATAACGAACCCAACATAAGAATAGCGAAGTCGTTGTCTCTGTCTTTTGCAAACCCCTCCTGGATCCAGTGGACTCCGTCAGAATCAATTCCATGTTTTCCTACTACAACAACGGAGTTCCAATTACGTGTCTACAATTTACGGGCGAGATTCAGTTTGTCCACTCATCGGTTCATCTGTTTTTGGTCTCTAACAGCCATCGATCATTACAAAGAGAGGCCAACCTCCGGCCATACTCAATTGATTTAATAAATCGGTCTTCATCAGGCCTACTCACGAGTTCTTCCTATCTCAACCTTTTTTCCGAGATAGAGATAAGAACTCACAGTCTTCATTAATTTGAACCTTTCACCATCAAACTCTTGCTCAATCCTCTATACTCCCCTTGATTCTTTTGCGTTTCGGATCTTCGCGAAAGGAAGATGTCGTTCAGTGGGACTCTGCAGAAATGCAAGGCTTGTGATAAGACCGTGTATGTGGTTGATTTGTTGTCTGCGGATGGAGTTGCCTATCACAAGTCTTGCTTCAAATGCAGTCACTGCAAAGGAACTCTGGTGGTATGTCCATTCACTCTTTAGCTTAATTAAACTCTGTCCCAGTTTAATTTTGATTTGAGGTAGAGAGCTGTCACTCAGATGGGTAGAGAGCCTTCAAATGGAGGAATTCTCTATATTTTCAATTTCAGTTTCATTCTTGATTAAATTTGGATCGTCATTAGAAATAAATTCATCTAAAATAAGAACTGGGTTATCTTTTTTTTTCCTCTCTCTTTAGAAATGAACTAGTTTCCTTTTAATTTTTTGGTTTCTCATAATCTCATTGTTTGAATCATGGTTTTTAAAAACGGACCGGACTGGATGGCCGGACTGGAAAAACCGGGAACCGATCACTTGATCGGTTCCGTTTTTCCTCAAAACTGTTGATTTTGGTTAACAAACTACTGAATTGGCCAGTTAATTGTTTGAATCGTTCAAACGGTTTTGACCGTTTTTCAAATTTTTTATTTTTTTTTTATTTTTTGTCAGAACAGACTGATCGTTCGGGTTGAATGGTCAGACCGTTCGAACCGGTAACTAGACCCTTGAACGGTTCGGTTTTAAAAACCATGGTTTGATTTGATTCTTTTTTTCTTTTCTTTTTTTAATTTGATAAAACTGACGTTTTGAAATTCCCGGGAAACAGAAGAAACAATCTCATTTCCCTGCAATTTCCAAAAAGCAACCTGACTAATAAGTTGCATACAGATGAGTAACTACTCTTCCATGGATGGAGTCCTTTACTGCAAGCCTCACTTTGAGCAACTATTCAAGGAAACTGGCAGTTTTAGTAAGAATTTCCAAACAGGTAAGAGATCTCCTCCCCCTCTCTCTCTCTCTCTCTCTTTGATACACACGCACAAACAAGGTATGTGCTTATACGTTTACTTATCTACCAATTTTTGTGGGGCTAATTATGATTTTGGATGATCAACAGGAAAATCTGAGAAGCAAAATGATCAGCTGGTACCACTTTCTGTCTTTGTTGGATTGAAACATCACTAATAATAAAAATGTTTCTTTGATTTTCCCTTTATATTCCATTATATAAAGATACGCTATTTGAACTCTTTGTTTACTTCATTTAACAGGCCAGGGCCCCCAGCAAGCTATCCTCCATGTTCTCTGGGACTCAAGATAAATGTGCCGCTTGTAAAAAGACAGCATATCCACTGGAGAAGGTTTGCAATATCAAACCCTTTTGATATTCACGGGTTTCGCTTTCTCTCTTTTCTCTCTGCAAGTATTCATGTATAAATGGCTACATGAATCCTGTTTAGCCATTTCATTATGTTCTGTGTTATATCCGAGTTCGGATGGGCTTCCCACATGCGCCCCACCGCCCATCCACCCCATGCATTGGGAACATCTCCCTAGATATTTCCAATGCATGGGAAGATGGGCTGTAGAGCGTGCTCTCCGGGAGTTCATCCCTTCTCGTTATATTCAATTATCCATTATTAAATTATGGGTGTTTAAGGTGGCGTTCGATAGTGTGTTTATCTCATGGATGGACCATTTTGGTCCACGCTATGGGGTGAATTCACCATTCTGTTGATCGTGGACAGGATTGATCCACAATATATTGTGGACTGTCCCCGTCCGCAGCTCAAAATCTCAGCCACATTTGTATCTCGTGGATGGACCATTTCGGTCCACGCCATGGGGTGAATTCATCATTCTGTTGGTCATGGATGGGATTGGTCCACAATATATCGTGGATCATCCCTGTCCACAACTCAAAATCTCAGCCACCCTTATATCTCGTGGATGTGGCCAGTCCAAAACATTTTCACACTGTATTTTGATACAATACATCTTTTCTACCTACTTTTCTTTCTTTTTAATTTTTAAATTTTAAATTTTAAAATAATAATTTTTTTAATTTTAATTTTTTAATATTTTATCAATAAAATAATAATTTTAATATTAATTCTAGCATAAGCCCGATGGTGCTCCTTTTTTCACTCTTTTTTTAATTTATTTAAATATTATTATTTTAAAATTTTATCAACAAAATAATAATTTTAAATATTTAAATTGTTTTTTTAATTATTTTACTATCATTTTTATTAAAATTAATATTAATTTATCAATGCCTTTTTTCAATATATTTATCATATAAAATGCAAAAATTAGACATTTATGATCAACTGTATAGATCATTCATAAAATGTATATGAGATACATGAAATCAAAAAGTGTGGTGTAAACACCACACCTATAGAACGCCATTGTGGGTGTGGATTGGATCAATCCACATAACCTATCCACAGTTCAGAATAGTTATAGACTGTGGTGTAGTATAGATTGGTCATGCCACAGGGTGTGGTGTGGACTAGTTCACACCCACCAATTTTTCATCAATACTACAGAACACCCCCTAAATCATTTCTTATTATTTTTTATTCGTCTTTTTGGTACATATGAGACAAAGATATTCTTGTTAATCCAATTAAACATTTTATAGGTGACATTGGAAGGAGAATCTTACCATAAGTCATGTTTCAAGTGCTCTCATGGGGGCTGCCCTCTCACACCTTCCACTTATGCTGCTTTGGATGGAATTTTGTACTGCAAGCACCATTTTGCTCAATTGTTCAAGGAGAAGGGAAACTACAATCATCTTGCCAAGGGTGCTTCGCTTAGGAAAAATAACGCACCACTACCAGACTCAGAAGAGAAAACTGAAGGAGAACAGGAACCAGACGAGTAAAGATATGCCGTTTGATTTTTCAGTTACTTGGTCCATTTTGGTTCAATTTTTCTGAGGAGGCAGAGTAGCCCTTCTGAATTTTGGGATTTCTAATCCTTTCGTCTTGCTCCCCCAATCTGAGGGAATTCTTGTTCATCTGGTTTTCAAACCTTTTGTTTTAATTCTTTATTCTTTTTGTTCTTTTGATTTGTAAGCAAACGTGAAGGGTCCCATATGTTATCATATGGAACTAACGGTGAATGAAAAATAAATTTTGATTTTTTTTAATCAAAATACTAGCATTGTGTATGCGCAAGTTTGGATTTGATACTTGGCGCTTTGAAAGAAAAAAAGAAAAGAGTTGATAGTTGATATACTTACCAAAAAAAACAAAAAGAGCTGACCTTCAGTACTGTAGAAGTGCATATTTCCTTTAGTCGGTACATTTTAGCAAGGTTTTTAAAATCGGATCTGACAATAGAACCATTTTGGGGACCGGTTTTCATGTCAAATTGTCTGACTCTCTGGTTTGAAAGTACAGTTGGTCTTGACTTAAAATAAAAATGGCAAAAAACTGTTGTTCAGGTCGACAGTTTGATGGTTCAACCATCTGAATCAGTGGTCGTTAATCAAATTAATGGTTTTTGACCAAAAAACAGTTTTAAGGTGAAATGAAATCAATTATCTGACCGGATCCTAAATCTTCTGGTCCAAACATCCGGTCTAATTCGATTTTCAAAACCATGGTTTTAGGTGATAATTGTGAATTTGGATTTGCTCCTCACGGAGCACACCTCACACCAATTCAGCTACTTCATAACACTGTCATTCATGAAAAGATGCTCTAATACATTGGCTGCCATATATTCCAAGGTTGGTTTAACGGGCACTCTAGGGAGCAAATCCGATTTCAATACCTGCTGCTATGGTTTCAGCAACGCAGGAAACTGAAGTTGTCATTCAATACCTGCTGCTATGGCAGTGGGTATACCGTGTACCCGGGTTCCCAACACATTGGACCCTGGTTATTAAGGCTAGGGACCACAGACTAGATCCAATTCTAGATTAATGTGCCAACAAGATATATTAAATTGGATCAGTATAGACTTAATAGTTGAAAGTATTTATTGGATTAGATTGGATCTGATTCATCCGTAATGGATCTATATTAGATTGAATTGATATCCAGTCCATTACCAAGTTGCTAAATTAAAACTAATTTGAATGAATTAGATGATTCAAATATTGAATTAGACTGATCCAAAATGATTTAAAATATTCATTGGACCTGATTCAGCTGTAACAGATTCATATTGGACCGGATCACATTAAACCAAATCCAGTCGAATTGACATCTCTACGGTGCCGAACCGCAGATGAGCATATGAGTTTTAGGTGATACCTGTTACTGTGGTTGCTGCAAAGCAGGAGACTAGGTCTCCTACGGTTAGGGTGTAGGTAGCAGTGTATATACCCGGGTTCCGACGTAACGGGCCCTGGTTGGGGGACTGGGCCCACAAAATTTAGATTCAATCATAAAATTTTAGGCCTTTTTATCTTTTTAGAAGGACGATCCAATCGTAAATGGCCTAATTATTTTTCGTAGTAAATGGGTATAAACTTGGGTCGATAAAATAAAATAAAAGCCCAATATGAAAAGGGTCCAACTCCAGACCTAAAGTGCCGATGGTTATCGAGTATATGAGTTTTCAAATTCATGAATCATGACAGGAAAGAAACTGTAAATTCCCGATTTCCCTTTCAACATCCATTGTATATTTGCAATTAATCTACTATATTTTACTGTTTTTTGACAATATTTTGCCAATTGCTTCATAATTAATACGTATTGGTTGGTCGTAGTGTGTAATCACCCGTGTTAAACTTGGAACCGAACCCCATAAGACCCAGAAGCCAATTTAATATATAGGGTACGAGTTTACAATTTAATATTGCACAGTCAATATTAATTGAATTTAAATTGGAATATTACTTGATTTAATTTGAATTCGAATCGTTTATATCCCTATATAAAGGACCTGGCTAGAGTCAGAACCATTGGCACTTCTAACTCCTAAGTAAGTAATTTATTTGCTGTCACCAACTTCTACAGAATACTTGGAAGAAAAAAAAAATCCACAGGATACAAATAGCTTCATTTTTTTTCCTTTCCTTTTAATGTTGCATTTGGTTTGCAGTGCAAATTTGAACCAGATATAAGTTTTGCAGCTGGTCGGTTTTTCATCTGTTTGTTTATGGCTGTGATTTGTACTCCTACGTTCCTACCTAATACAAAAGTGTATGTTTTATTGTATTTGCACATTGACAGTGTAAATTTTGTATCTCAAAAATTGATGTAAATTTTGCACCACCTTCCTCTTACCTTTAACCCTCCTTAATATAAAGTGAGGGCCACATCATCTTGCTTCCTACTTCAGTACTCCCAAGTCCTAAACAGATAAACCTCTTCCTACTCCTATCTCTTGCATATAAGGTGGGAGTAGGGATGTCAATGGGTCGGGTTAAATGGCAAATCTGATTGACCTGATCTTATAGGGTCAGGTTAGGATTTTGATTATTTGACCTAAGTTGGGTTTGGGTTTTGGTTGATCCTTACCACCAGGTCATGATACCCTTACATGTATACATAGTATTTTTGTAACTTTTTGACTTCTAACTCGATAGCCTTAAAGTTAAGGGTTTTTTATATGTTGATTTTGATTTCTTATTTTTTTTTAAATAAAAAAAGTGACACCTTAGAATCTACAAAACAAATTCTTAACTTAAATTAATAGATTTTAGGTTTTCAAAACATGTTAAAATTACAACTGAAATGCTACGAGGCAAATCCATGTGGAACCCAACCCGTTGACATCCCCAGGTGGGATTACATCATTTTACTTCCTATTTTATTTTTTACAAAAAAAACAAGGTCAAATCTGAAGGAAAAGTAAACCATAATTTGTACTTAACATGTATACACTCCCATGCATTTACATCAACCAACAGCATCCTAAATCAAGTTATAAATACTAGACAATTATTGTATATTAGATTGCCTAAAGGTTGCATCATTAAATATCTGCCTACTATCTAGTATCTGGCCATGGAGAAAATAAGGCCTAGTTGTTTGCAATGGATTTTAACTTCAAGTGCTGAAAAAGTTTGGTTTGAAGTGCAAAATGAGTTAGAATGCAATTATTTATGCATTTTTATCAATTTTTACATTTTTCTTTTTATTTACAGTTTAAATAAGTAAAATAAAACCCAAAGTAATAGTAGAACAGAGTTTGCACTCCCATGGACTTTTATTAATGCAAATGAAATTGCACTGCAAATAAACAAGGGGTTATAACAGATAAAGGCAATCTTAGGGCCCTAATATCAATAAAAGTAATACATTAAAAAAATCAAAAATATGTTAACATTTTAAAAATAATATCAATTAAGGGCAAAAATACTGTTTATCTTCTTCCTCTTACAATCCATTCATCAGCGTTGTCGCCCACTACCTGCTGCCCTTCTGGCAACGTTGCCAGAGGTGGGCAGAGGCATTGTCGAAGGCGATGGCAGGCGACGGCAAACGGCAGAGTTGATGAATGGATTGAAGATGAACAGTGTTTTTGCCCTAAATTGATATTATTTTTAAAAAATTAACCTATTTTTTTATTTTTTTTAAATACTACTTTTATTGATATTAGGGCCCAAAAGTTATCATTATCAATTATAAGGGGTCATTTGATAAGAGCTTAAGTTACTGAACTGAAAAACTTACTAAATAAAAAACAAACCAATAAGCTTTTTAGGTCAGCCACTTAAACTCTACTATTAAATGGCCCTTTTAAGCAAAAAAGCAGTTAGCACAAATGGCTTGTCTATGCCACTTTACCTTATTTCTTTTTTGCGTCTTGGGCCTGAAGTGAATTCCTCCACGGCTCCACCCGCAATTTTTTTTTGGGTACAATGGTACTAAACTATCAAATTAACTTGAACATAGCAATCAATTAATCAAAGACCCCAAAACTTTCCATACCAAAGCCTACTAACCTTGAACAAAGTCATCTAGGTGCATCATGGGGCCCTGGTAAATCGGCTGGTCCCAAAGAAGTAAAGATAAGTATAAAAGGAAAGAGATATTTAGACCCTGTTTGGCATTGTTCCTCTTTTCCTGAGGAAATTCCTATTATGGAGCCAGAATTCTGTATCTTGTTATTAAGGAGTAACTATATAAGGCATTTGGCAATATGTTCGTCAAGAATAGATTTCTATTCTATAGAAATGGAAAAGCAATGTTCGGATAGTCAATTCAATAGGTTATTATGTCAAAAATACCAAACTAGAATAGAGGTGGAAAAAACAATTGATGGAGGAGGAAGCAATAGGAAGACGAAAAATCGATTGAGATGAAAAAAAAATTGAAAATGGTATACAATAAAATAGATTGGATGTTACCTGGATTGCCAGAGGATTAGAAGACGAGGAATGCAAAACGTTCACGGGTATCATTAGTGAAAGAAGGCTTGTGTGGAGTAAGAGATATATAGGGGGAAAAGAATACAAACATGGCACATTGACAGTGTTGCCTAGTGTCGTTGTCGGAGAAGAAGGCAATGTTAATGGAGCAAGAGTGGTGGTCGGTCGATGGAGAAAGAGCAAGAAGGAAGAAGGTGATATGTCGAGAGGTTAGGGCTTATTGACCTCACAATGACTCATGATATTCTAATTTTTTGTGATTTTACTAGGATACCCCCATTTACACGAGAATTAGATTACACACGTTTTCGGTTTTTTAAATGAACGTGTAGGGCAACGCTTTTCTCAGTTCCATACTTTCATGTAGGGGTGAGTATTATTTGGTTAAAACTGAATTATCGAATCGAAAATTTAGGTTTTAGTTTTTTTTGGTTTTTGGGTAATTTGGTTCCGTTAATTCGGTTTTTAGTAATTTTGGTTTTCAGGTTTAAAAATTTAATTAATTAAAAAAACTAAATTAACTAAAATTCATTATATAATATATAATA